CATTGCTCGTGTCTGGTGGGAACACCGGGTGAGCAATGACGAGGTCCGTCGTCGAGTGTTGGGTGTGGATAGTCGCCCTCTAACAGAAGTAATCGCTCTTCACCGCCTCCAATGGCTTGGTCACGTATTGCGTATGCTTGCCCATCGACTACCCTTCTGTGCTCTCTTTGCACGTGCCGGGCAAGGCTGGAAGAAGCGGCGCGGTGGTCAGACCATGGCATGGGCTAGAGGCATGAAGAAGCTGGTTTCAGCTTTGGCTTCTGTTGGTGCAGCCCGCCTTCCAGGTTGGGGCCTAAGGGATGAGGACTGTCGCTGGTTAGAGACGCTGAGAGATATGGCGCAGAATAGAAGTCAGCGGCGCGAATGCTGTACGATCTGTCTGTCGAAATCCCGTGCCCCTTAAGAAAAACGCAACATCAAACAACGCAAAAAAATTGCAAAAAGTGTACGGTGAAACAGACAAAAAATTCTGTTATCTTGTATTTTCCCATGTTTAACTGTTTCACCCACTTTTAACTATGTTCTGTATCTTAATCCACCTATCCCCTTTCACTGTCATTGTTGTTGTTGTTGTTGCGTTGGCACCAAGCTTGTTTTTTAAGCCGGTGGTAAATATATTCTGCAATGTAAGCACCAGCTGAGATGTAGATAGATACGATTCCGGAATTGACATCGTGCTCGCTGGCGATACGTTGCGCTCTTTGTCCCAGTTTGTTTCGGGAAATAATGGCTTCAGATTAGATTTGTTGTAAACTCAAACCAACGCGTGGAAAGTGTGTCTGTTTTTAGGTGTTCCACTTACCGGATTTCCCATGAATGGTGACGAAAGAAGTAATGAGCACTTGTGAGTGACAAGATACACAACAATCTGTAAGTGATCTCCATCTAAGTCTTGTAATAGTCTTGTAATAGGAAACAAAGGGGGGCTTTTTCTTTCTCCCGGAACAGAAATTCACGCAGTCCAGTCATAAATTTAAAAACAATTCAAGATACACTTTCGTGGACCCGTTTCGATAGCTGCCTCTTGGTTACCCGTGCAGATAAAGCAGGGAAGATTGGATTGTTCAGACCGATTTCCGGAGCGAATGGCAATTCCGAACGGGAGAATGCATTAGTTCCGAGTTTATCGATCCATAGCGATCTTCCTATTTTATTATACTACTTTTTTATCTGATGCCTACCCCGTTATTTTCAGGTGCGTTCTATGTTTTGATCTAACTAGGCAGCCTTCTATTGAATATACAAAGATACGATTTTCAGGAACGGGGAAGCGGACAATTAAAGGGCTGCCATTCAACACACAACGGGGAAAGTCACGCGGTGGTAGTGGGATTCGAACATACACCCCTGGGGTGATAATTTGGTGACGTTACCAACGGGCCGGAAAACTAAGGCACTGAAACCGATTCCGTTTGACGATCAGTGTAAGTTTGCAACTGAAATGTAAGCAGTATAAGCTCAGGCAAGTTATACAAATACATAATGCGTTATTTCCTACAGGGGAACAATAGGTGACATTATTCATTTTTTGCCGAGAAACAAATGTGTGTAGATATCCTCTGGGGACAAGAGAAGTATGACCTTGTGATTAATTCTCCTAGTAGAAGACTTCGACTTGGGCTGTGAATTGTCTTATTTCTTTACTATACAACACGATATGGTAG